CAGGTGCCTACCTTTATCTCTATTTTTATGTGCAAATGTTATATTTTGGTAGATGGGAATTGTATAGACTTACAGTTAACCTAATTTACAAAATAATTGGGGTAGGTTACATGAATTCTTCAAGGCCACAAGACTTTTGGGTCTAGCCTATCCTTTTTTCCAATCTTTACGTGTCTTAAGTTGCTTTACTGCACGAGAATATGGTGCTTTTCTTTAATGCAGTTCTTAGAGAAGCACATAATTCTATAAATTAGATTCTAGGTGGTTGGAAGATGAGAGTCCTGAAAACAAGTTGAGTTGGCTTATGCATAGAGTTATAGAGTTAATTGATGAGATGAGTTCTTACAAAAGTTTGCTAAATTCATATTTTCACGTCTAACTTGCCTAATCAGAATTCTGTAAGCTTCGTTTTAAAAAAAAACTTCATTAGGCTTATGTTTGATCCTCTGGTTGTTGTAGATTACTAAGAGATTGTCACCATATAACTTAGATATCATCGAAGAAGAAAGATTAGTATTGATTTTCATGCCTCATATTTTGGTTGTGCAATATTTGGAATCAACAACATTTTTTGCCTTCACTTGTGCAGGTGGAAGAGTTTTGTATGTTGAACTTTGTTTTATTATATGTATCTGTTTATTATTGGAAAAATGTCAAACTTTAAGATAAGTTTTAATCTAATTTCCTTATGCTGGTTTCATTGCTAGTTCCTTTTTTATTTACCATTTCCATTTTTTCCCTGTAAGTGCTTGACCTCATTTCATTTTTATTGCAGAGAGATACGATTGTTGATATCTTTTATGAGAAGCATTTGGGTCAGCTTATTGATGTCATAATATTATCATGTCCTGATGTGGCTGGGCAGTCAACAAGTAATTTGACGAGCAGTGCTGAAAGTCAAAATAGCACAACACCTGAAATTCTGTTAAACATATGTGAATTGCTTTGCTTTTGTGTTGTGCACCATCCTTACAGAATAAAGTAATCTCTTGGATACTTTTTATGTATCATTTAGAAAATTTTGGCTTATGAATCTAAGATGTTATTTGGCCTTTTCTTAATTGCTCAGGTGTAGTTTTCTCCTTAACAACGTTATAGACAAAGTTTTGTTACTTACACGGAGAAGGGAAAAATACCTAGTAGTTGCTGCAGTTCGCTTTGTTCGCACTATTCTCTCTCGTCGTGTAAGTGAGTTCAGTTCAAGCTTTAGAATAATTCTATCCCATCAAAGTTGAAATGTTCACACTCACCCTTGATGATATCTTTAGAATGAAAAATGGCATTGATATATGAAATTGGAGGTGAAACAATTTAGTGTCCAACTGTGCTTGACTGTTGTTGGTTTCTTATGGGGACATGGAGAATTAGTTTCTCAGTTCGAAGATCTATTTATCTTTTGAGATATGTGGTATGTATATGTGGCTCTGATTCTTCATTTTACCTCATGTTATGCTGGATATCATTTGACACCGTCGTCAAAGTGGACATAAGCTTTGGCCTAGAGACACCAAATGATAATGGACGCATGCCATCTCATATAGGGGTACTATGAATAACATAAAACGCGGTTTGCTAATTGTTGGCATATCTTCTGCCTCTGGTGTTTCTACTGTTGTTGTTTCAGATGGCTCAGTTAAAAATTGAGTTATTCTGTTTGAATGATTGCTACACTACTGGGAAGGGTATTAAATTATTAATAGGAGAGGATGGACACCTTTTCACTTCCTTTTCTGAACTTTTTCCTCATAGCCTGTTGTGCATGTGATTGTATATATTTTTTTCATTTTTGTGCATTTGTAAGATACAATTTCTAGGACTTCGATTTTCCCGTTTTTATAATTATTTCAATTTATTGCAAATTAGCAAATTTATGGACACGATTTGATTAAAAGCTATTACATCTTTTAACTGATTAAGCTTTCATTTTGCAGGATGAACATCTGATAAATCATTTTGTTAAGAAAAACCTTCTCAAACCAGTTGTTGATGCTTTTGTTGCTAATGGAAATCGTTACAATGTACTGAACTCTGCGGTCTTGGAACTTTTTGAATATATCCGGAAGGTGGAATATTTATCTGCTGCTCTAAATAGTGATGTTAGACATTTCTTGATGATTCTTTCTGCTAATAACTTTGTTTCATGCAGGAAAATGTGAAATTATTAGTTAAACACATAGTTGATTCATTTTGGGATCAGTTGGTTAAGTTTGAGAATTTGGCTTCCATTCACTCTCTGAAAGTCAAGTATGAACAGGTATGCCAGTTAGTTACTAACCTATTTTACTGCTGAGATTTTCAGATCCAGACTTTCATTGATATGACTTGTCTGTTTGCAGTGCTTGGAAAATTGTGGAACAAAAGCGAATGTTAATGTGTTGGACTCAAGAGAACGAATTGATAAGCGTGCTCTAGGGAAAGAGGAGGAAGACAATTTCAATGAGGACGGGTATGCTTTCATCAACAGATGTGTTTAGACTTCTCCCACTGAGCCATTTTCACTATAGTGATTATATCTGGATGCATATGCAGTGACGAAGAGGATACAACATCTGAATCTTTCACTCGGAAAGTACAATCTCAGCCTGTTTCATCTGATGGAGTTGCTGCAAGTTGCCCATCATTAAGGTATTTCAGCCTTAACCTCATCCTAGATGGTTGATGACTGAAAATGCTGTACGGTGTGCTTGGGTTCATAATTGATATTTTTGTTCTGATTATTTAGCCCAAGATCTGGCGGACTCGTTGACTATGATGATGATGATGATGATGATGAAGACTACAGACCACCCGCCAAGAAGCAGACTGAAACATCAGAGGATGATGAAGGAGGCCTGGAGCCCCTTAAGTTAAAGCGAAAGTTGATTTCTAGGGAGCATGAGGACGATCTAGCTTATAAGAAGCAGGGTCTGGGTAAAAGCTCCAAATCAAGAGAGAGTGTATTTGCGACTTTGCGTTCGACCCTAAGCCAGGCAGTGCTGCCAAGTAAGAAAACTGCAAATGCCGTGCCTTTATCTAGTCAATCAGCTGATGGGAACAAAGGTTCGGGTGAGAAAAATCATACAGAAACAGAATCTAGCAGTGTGAGAAGTTCTGATAAAAGTAGTTCAGAAGAGGACAGCCAGAGAGATAAGGAACCTCCCAGAAACAGTTCAGATTGCTTGCATAGCTCCTTGGACAATAGACAACTTAGTGGCGAGGACTGTCCCTTGGTACCACCAAAATCCTCACCTGAAATGGCTGTGAATGGATCTTAAGGGTAATTTCGGAGAATCACTATGCACAGTTTAACTCGTTTTCTTGATTGTTGAATTCGACTCAAGGATTTGCTTGGTGACTAAAGGGTCTCGGCATTGGCTACCACAGAACCAGATTCAGAAACATTGGGAAGTGGATGAGAAAGAAATTCGAATTGTTTTGTCCGTTGGTGATGGATGATCCAGTGCAAGCGGAGGTGCAGGAAAATTATACTGAAGTATGCAAAAAGCCAGGAGGCTTTTCCGATGCTTTGAGCTCTGAGCTTTGGACTTTCTGCTTTTAGGCTCACCACCAAACTGTTGCTTCTGTAGAAACATACCTGTTTTTGTCTAATTTTTAACTTTTTTTTTTTAAAAAAAAGAATATATTTTAGCATTCTGAACCGACTGATAGAGAGACTGGGGCATGCACAAGTGTTGTTGAGTTTTGGTGGTGGGTGTTGTATAGAGGAAAGGCCAAGTTTTATTGTTTGTAGGCTAAAAATCTCATCAATAGACCCACTTTGTACATTACAAGTTGGTAAGTACATTTTTTTTTCTATTTCCCTTATGTTCATCATCCTTTTTCTTTTTGCTCAATTGAATACAAAATTGGATATATATACAAATTAATGATAACATGTTAGAAACGCTTCATTTTCTTCTAAATTGGTTAACAAATGCATTTTTCCAAAATTGAATATTATGATAAAAGCAATACACAATATGATAATACAAATAAAAATAATTAAAAAAAATAACATAAAACAAGCCTATGAATTCAAAGCTCGTAGGATTTTTAGTGACAGAAGCTGCAAACTAGGGGGATTTGGTTGGATGCTGGGATTTGAGCCCAGGTCTCCACGGTCATAACGCGGAATTCTTACTACTAAACTACAATCACTTCGTTGATACATTTAGCTCAACAATAATAATTATTTAGAATCTAGGATTTATCTCTCTTGTTTTGTCATGTTGAGTCTGCCCGGTTGATACATGGACCCAAACTTCCAAATTTTACGTTTTATTGCCTGATGGCTGCAATACTTTGCTTCCCAGACATTGTCTAGCTTCTCCATGTTCATAAATGTCTTGTAGTGTGTGTATATAGGGACTATATAAAAATAATACACATATAATATGTTTCCTGTCTCATTATGCGTATACTTGACATGGCTATTTCTCTCATAAACTAGTAGTGCGGCAAGGAACCGGAACGCCGGCTGGTAGTGGTACTGAAACCATGGTGGAGCCACCAACGCTGGAAGAGGCGGGAGTAAAGCTGGAAAACTCCTAGGGTGAGGGCCCGGCATGCTGTCCACTTGCAGAACCATGTGGTTTGCTGGTCCTGCACTTGCCATGGTGGGCGGAACCATTGGCTCGAGCTAAATGGTGTGTATGAGTGGCGGCGTTGTGAACGCCTCGAGCAGCACGCCAGCACCCTGGATAGCTCCTTCAAAGGCGGCCAAAGGGTAAACCAGGAACCGATGGGCTACGCGTTGCAGCTTATTTATTTTGTATTCTACTGGACAATGGGTTCCGAGTTTGTGTTCGAACGAGTATATTTAAATTTTGAAATGTTTCCGAAATATTTTTGGAGAGTTGTATTTTCGTAGTCATTATATATATATATATATATATATATATATAAACGAAACGAAACGGATATCGAATATAATTTTTTGAACAGTTTAGGTAAGAGGAATTTTGCTCCTAGGCATCGAAAACTTAAAAAATAAAATAAACAGTCAAAGCTAACACATTCAAAACAGCAAAATCACAGAGCTTGTTGCTTCCACAAAATTTCAAAATGGACATCCATAAGCAAAGATCATGAGATAAAACTATATCATCACATTCACTGCTGCTGCTGCTGCTGATTGATGATGATCACGACTTTCATACTTCAAACAGTTGAACGGAAGTATCGAAGATTAGAGACGTTAATCCGTCGGTTTATAGACACTTCCAAACCGAAATTGAATGCATCGGCGTTCCCTTCCAACCTATGAGTAGACTTTTTCCATTCATATCGAGCGTACAGCAAGTTCCACAGGCAAAATTTTTTAGAATAAGGTCTACCTGGTACCTGGATAACATGCTTAATGCCGCCTCCTCCATCCCATACCGAACGAAAAACGCCCTCCAAACATCGAACTTCACGTGCCGGACCTTCCTTTCGTCGCCTTCACTCGCTATCATGTTCCGAATACCCTCACAAAAGAACACTGATTCTATGATCTCTCTGCTTTTGATATCATGTTTCATGCAAGTTGCGATGCAATCGAAGTATGCACCGAAGAAAAACAGTACTTCGATGAAACGGTTCACGAAGATTGGTGAGTTATGGTTGGCTTCGATTTCGGTTACCACCATTAAACAAGGATTCATAACTCTGAGTACCCTCATTATATTTTCGATCCGGTTCGGCATCACGAGCATTTTCTGGAAAGCAAACCCCGCATATGCCACAATGGATTCTTCGGCATCAATTTCAAAGAGATCTTCTTTAAGATCTAACATATCCGAGACCATAACAACCTTGAAGGCAAAGGGTATTCCTAAGCTCTGAGCAAAACCCAAGAGCCTCTTGCCGGTGCCCTCAACGTAAGCCTTCGCTTTGGTCGAAATGGCTGTTATTTTCAGGAGCTCCATACGGCATTCGTGTTGTTGAGATGCAAGAGCTTGCATTAAGATAGTCCACTGAACACCATGTCTTATTTCAAGATCAATTATGTGAACCTTTTTTGCATCAGCAACATTTTCCACAATGGCCTGGATCCCTGCAAATTGGGTAACCTTTGAAAAAGGAAGCTCTTGATGACATGCCAATACAGCCGGGTTCATGGTCATCATCGCCTTGTCGATATCAAAAAACGGCCTCCACTTTAAACCCTTTGACGAACTTCTTTCGATCTTCTCTCGAAGCGCCTCGGTGAAATAATAGACTACTCGCTGAACTGGATTTCCGGTTTTCGACGACATGAAATCACATTGTTTAAGCAATCTGCCAGCACTTTCATATTGTTGGTACCCTATTTTTTCTGCAGTGGCTAGAAGAAGCACAGCAAGCTCGACGTCTCTCGTCTCCTGGTCCGACAATCCCGAAAAACAAACATTAGAAGGTTGATCAATCATGGAGATTCCATCAACACTTTGGCCACATGACTTTATAAACATCTCTCCAGCAATCCTCATGATTTCTTCAGTCGAAAAATTTCGGTCTTCATCATCCCGAGCGTCGGATACGGTTATATCATCTTCTATTCTTCCTTCCCCATGCAAACGTTTGAATCCATTGCCGTAGCTGTTCAGCAGTCCAAGGGAAGATAAACAACGAGGCTGCTGTCTTCCCTTCTTTTTCTCATCAATATCCTCACAAACTCCATCCCTGATCCGACCGAGCTCCGTGATTTCATTGAAACATGTCGGAATCAATGGAGATTGAGCATTGAAACTCACACCATCAAGGAAATCACAACACCTAATATTCTGTTGCTGCTGCTGCAGGCCTCGTTTCGAGTAACCGAAACCTGTGGCAGCCATTGATTCATCTCCATAGAATTCATAATCAGAAGGCAAGGAATCAATGGCTACAGTTTCACCCCAAGCTTCAACACCATAAAAACCACTTTGTTTCCCTTTAATACCGCCAGTAAAGCTCTCGAATCCTTTATCGGAAGGACTTAACTTATCTGGAGCTGCATAAATATTAAAGTCGTCCCAAGAATGCACATAATTCCCCATGGTAGACAGAAATGGAAACTAAGAGACCCCTCAAGGAAACTATATAGAAAGCACTCAACAATTCCAACTAATTCAATATGATGTATAAAAGAAAATATTTTTATGAACAAGAAGGAATATTTTAGTATATTGTCCAATGAAAGAGTCTTATTGATGTTTCCAAGGTGGCCTGCACCATTGATGGAAATCAACCACATTTACTTGAATGCCACTTGGACTAATGAATGAGTTCTGTAATACAATTAGACAAACAGTTGGTATCCGAGTTCAAACTATGTTACTCAAACTTAGTATGAGTAAATTTCTTCTTTCCGATAATATGACCGATATGGACGTTTCGGACCTAAGTGCTTTAGAAAAATTGAAGTGTCGGAGGTTTATTTATATGTCACAGTCTACCTGATATCATCTTGTCGGGAAAGTAATGAATCAGACAATTGCATGGTTACAAGCACTAAGAAAAACATAGAACGGTAAGCAAATAAGAAACAAAAAAGATTAAATAGCTTTGAATAATCATAAAGTAAAACTTTGAAAAGGACTTGAAAATGAGATCTGACAATGCAGCCTGCAACAAAGACTGGAGCTTTGAGATTGACAACCAGGAAATTTACTTACATTTTTGTCCTTTGTACATATTTCCATTGCCATCTCCATTTTTATGTATTTTTGGAGGAAAATCAACTTATTAGCTTAGTCATCAACTTGGGGTTTTCCCAATGATGATGGTGTCATAACTTGGTTTTTAAAATCATTAAAATTTTACAATCACAAAGCTCATAAAAGACCTTGCTCTTGACAGAATTGGGATTTTAAAAGGTTGAAATAGATTAGGAGAAGAGAAAATGGTGGAAATAGAGAAAGGAGAAGAGAAATGGTGAGCTTCTGTTACTGTGGTTAGGTAAATGAATACATCCTCCTCGAACAAACGAGTTCGAAATGAATAAAATAGCAACAATGAGGGAGAGAGAGCATCGTCACTCGGTAGGAGCTCGAGCTCGAGCTCAAACATTAGAAGTGAAAAATGACAGTTCAATAGTCACCTTCAATTCTCATCTCAGAAATAATATAATGGAACCATTTCCGCATCAGTCAGTGAAATCAAAGGGAGAATCTCAACATGCAATCGAAGGTTGAGCCTTTGCCTGTGTTGCTTTGTAGCAAGCAAGACTGCATAATGGAAGCTTCGACTTGGAATCTCGATACTTGTATGGATTTGTACAATTCAGACCCGCGCATTTTTCTCGTGGCGGTGGATAACTAGAGGGAAAAGAAATGCATAAATAACATGAAATTAATGGAAAAACATAAAGACAGACGGATTTATAAGAGTACCTTGATGGTGCTGAATTGAATAGCTGTGGTAGACCGATATCTTCGGAAAATGTAACTGTTGTTCCACTAGGACTCATAACCCATCTCACTGTGTTCGATGCAAGAGTTTCGGATTTGGTAGCTTTTTCCTGCATCAATAACAGCATCAAAATGAATGAAAATAACACTACAAAGCACACAGAAAGATGCATGATACCTAAAAAGAGTCACGAACCTGTGCCAATTCATCCCGCTGCTTCTTCATCTTATCCTCCTTTTTCTTTCTTGCGGAATCCTGACCGAGTATTTTTCTGATTGCCTCAGCCTAAGACAAATTCAAAGACCCTACTGAATATCGTTTCTCAAATGATCATGGAGCAACAGTAAAATGAGACAAAAGAAATAGTGGGTTAAAAACCTCAGCATCCCGGGCTGCTTTCTCGGACTGCATTCTACGTCTCTGTGCAGCCACGGCCTTCTTCAACTGTAGCTCCACTTCAGAAAGTATCTCCTTTTGCTCTATAATAAACAATTATTATTAAAGCAATCAATTTCGCGATCTTCAGCATTTAAAGCTCAAATATACTTAAAAACACATTGAGGCTGAATCACCAATCCAACTTATTAAAAGGGAAGTTAAGTGAAAGGATTAAAGTAGGGTTAAAAACAAATGGATGTAAACAAAGTAGTGAGTGAGGGAATTGCTAACTTTTAGGTGGTGCAGTAGGTAAACCATCTTGGAACTCAACAAGACCAGCACCTGGACCAGATAAGTGATCTTTCCAAGACTGAAGAGCAACATTACGAGTAGTGTGAGTTGATTTGGTTCTTCCATCCACAAAAAAATCAACCGATCCACTTCTCATCTTCTTCCTTTTAGATCCAGGCTCTTCGTTGGATTCCCACTCGTCCTCTTCCACATAATCTCTATCCTCACAAATAGCACTCTCTCTCCCGTTTATCTCATCCTCTTCATCTTCATGATTCGAGACACCATTTGAAGCATTCAGTCTCCCAAGATAACGGATTTCCTCGTCTTCATCATCGTCATCACTATTTTTGCCTACATCCAAGACACGCCTCTTAGGAACCCGCTTGCTCTTACGAGTTGGCTCATTTCTGTCAGTTTCATTCTCATGTGCCTTTCCCCTAGAAGAATGTCCCTTTCCATAACCCGAGCCACTTCTGGATAAATCCTTCCATTGAACTCCATAGCCTTCTTCCTGATCAGAAAGATGGGAGCCTTTCTTGCTCTGCAGTGAGTGTTTATGCAACAAATCATCAGCTCACAAAAAGTTCAATTGCATTATAAAGAATACCCGAAGAACAAATGAGACACAATAAATTTGTATATATACACACATGTGCATATATACGGCAAAAATAAAAGTAAAATGACAACGAGACTAGATCAAAGACTTATTTTCCAAAACCTGTACGAGAAACCTCTTCCCATTGCAATGACAAATGGAATAGAGAAGGATCAATTTCATAGTTCACACCAGATTGCTGATCATGACAAATAAATTCTATACAAACAATATAACCAGGCAGTGCTGTGTTCGAATAAGATGGAAATACCAGAAAAAGGGGCCTTTCTACGGCTTGAGAAACTTCAGAGAAATTGGAATACTTAGTTAAGCTAGGCTCGCTGCCAAAGGCATGATCAGCAGTGGAGTTAGTGTGGATCATACGCGTAACCCCACCAAGCTTGAGCTTAAGTTTCAGCTTATTCTCATTTCCAAAACCATTATAACCGTTCTTAAAATTTTGATCTTTGTTGCCACTAAAACCTATGGTTGGTGTTGGCGATGACATTAAAACATGATTATGCGTAAATGTCGGTAGAGTAACACGTGGACGACGTAACATGCCACTCCTCTTCTTCTTCATGGCACTACCCACGACAGCTAACGCCGGCCCGCCAAAGCTTTCCATAATGGCCAGGAGATCCAAGTCTTAAGTAGCAAATGATACGAGTAAGCTCAAAACAGACAGCGAAAAAAAATTAAGAAAACAATTCAAACCACAAAAGAAATTCAATAATCATGTTCACAATAAATTAAAACAAGAACAAAATTCTTAGCAGATAACAAATCCCATACTTCTTTAGTCAACTAGGTCCTTTACAAGTCTAAATCAATATTAATATAGTAGAAAATCAACCAAACCCAACTTTAAAAAACAATCCTAGATGTTTCCATTTCATATTTACCTAATAAGAAAAAGTATTAAATAAAAAACTAAAAAATAATATTCACTTTGAAGCTCAAAATCTTCAATGCTAAGGCAAAGATCGATTAAAAAAGGCTGCATTTTCACCCTAAAAACTACAACAATGAACTTAACAAAAGATTTAATTTTCCGGAAACTAGCTTAAAAGTATACACGTTTGAAATATCAAAAGCAATAAAAATCGAAGCTTTCTACGAGATTTTCCAAGTAAACAAACAAAGGGTAAGAAAAACCGACAAAGAAGAAAATGAATAAAGAAAAATGTAAACACTTACCCAATTACAAGAACTGAAAAAGAGAGGTAGTCCCTTTACAGAGGGAGGGATTTGTCAAATTTTCCTTTGCTTTTCTGTTCTGAGGAAAATTTGGGTTTGAGAAAGAGGAGGGTTTAGCTCTTACGAGGATGGCTTTGGTAAAGGATACTGTAAGTAGGAATTTCCAGTTTTCCGCTCCGTTTTTATTTTCAATTTCTTTTTTTCGCTCCTAAACAGTGGGCTTGGACCCACTTTTCTTTTATTTGTTTATTTATTGTTAATTTTTATTTACTAACCGGCGGTGATGGGCAACGACAATCAACGATGACCAGCGACAATGATGAAGAAATTTAAGGATTAAAATAATATTTTAGTAATACTTAAAGTCAAATTAACATTAGGTCTAAAATTTAAAGATCAAGTTAAATTTTGTGGTAAGCTACTCACATTAACTATGTCGTTTGTTATATAACGACATGTTACTACATTGAAATCACCTAAATAGTTATGTGATTATATTGTCAAAATTAAAAATATGATTGTTATATCGATACCAATCCTATAACTAAGTGGTCATTTAAGTAATTTATGGTTTACTCTAAAATTTAATCATTTACCTAATGTTTCACGTTAGCAAAGTAACAAAAATTAATAATACAGTGATCAAAATAAGACAGATCAACAATAAAATGACTAAAATGAAACTTTTTCAAAATTAGTGATCAAAATCAAACAAACCTAAAAATGAACCATCAATATTTTGAATAATCTTGATTATAAAGTAATATTTTTAATAATTTTATTAATCTATTAACAATGTATATCCTCTGTAAACTAACTTTTCGAATTTATATAAAAATAAGACGTTCTATTTTAACGGTCATTATTCAATAAATTCTAGTATTATGTCAGTATCTTTGGTATTATGTCAGTGATAACGTCACCGATATTTGTAAGTTTTTCATTAATCTTCGCCATTGGAGAGACTCCGTCAGTAATAGTATTATCCGGGTGCCTCGTAAAACCATTGTCACAGATTTCGTAATCGTCCTGGGCTTGAGAAACCTTGGTTTCGACTGTTTCGATTTCACGAACCAGAACCGCATCCATGGCTTCTTTCAAAGCCACCAAAGCATCGTCGTACTGTTGACGGCAGCCGTTAAATTCCGACACTAACATCGGATCATCGGAGTATAAAGGGTCAGCAGCCATTTTTGTTGCAGTTTTAATCGCCCTTTTGGAACGCTCACTCATGGCTTTTATCAACATTACGGCCACGGATTGTGGGTCTGTTTTGCCATTGAAGAATGGTTCAATGGACCTTATGCAAAGACGGGGGTAGAAAGTTTTTGCACATAAGGTCCTGATCCGAGGATTCGAAGCCGCCGTCGACGGCTGTGGTATAGGCGTCGGAACCGGAGCTGAGGCAATTGTTGGAGCGGATGCCGGCGGCTGTTGCCTTACGCAAATGACAGGGTTGAAGAGAATGATGCAGCAGAAGAGTAAGACAAACACCATCTTTTGTTGCAGTGATTGTAGTACAAGAAACTAAAGAGAAATGGTGTATTTAAAGATGAAATTAAGAAATGTGAGCTTTCGGACGTTGCTTTTATTTATTGTAATCGGGGAGTTACCAGTTATCCAAACTTACATAACTTTGTTTAGTATTTATTTAACAATAAATTTAGTATAAGGAATTATATCACTTCAACAAAACTGTTATGTATCGGTGATTTCAGCAGCGTTGGAAGAGTAAATGCCACAAATTTAAAATATATAGCGGCGTTTACAATCTAAACACCACAAAAGTGACACTTTAGTGGGTTTTTTTAGATAAACGATTTGATATAGGTGTACGTTAGCGGCGTTTTGATACAAATGCCGTAATATGATTAGTTTATAGTGGTGTTTTCCCAAAAAAACGTCGCGATAGAGTAGTAATTTAGCTTTTTTTTACAAATTTGCAGACGACGTGATAAAGAGTACTTTAGCGGCGTTTTTATACAAACGTGAGCCAATAAAATTTAAAAAACAAACCAAATTTAGAGATAATGATTAGGCATCATCTTCTAACTAAAACATCTTTGTTAAAATTATTTTTCATTAGTATTAACTAAATAAAGTATTTGATGAAATACTCCAATAAAATAATTATGAATAAAAGTGCTAGGACGAAACAAACAATATAGAAATTCATAATTTTCATAATAATACTCGAACACAATATAATACGATAAAAGAATTGAAAACAAATTCTATAAAATGATACAAAGGTATTTAAAAAGATAGAAACCGTCATTACAAGCCACAGAGGACCGACTAATCATATCACACATATCGTGCATGCATCATGAATGCTATGATTATACACTTCACAAAGATATATTATCTTAGTGATCTAATGATAATTTAGGCATCGATTGTAAATTTCATTACACATTAAACATGAAGAGCTAGCGGCTTAAGATATACTTATATCTTTAAATTAATTTTCAGCATGAATTCGATAAGACCTCAATCAGAGATGAATCAATAGGAGCAAATAAGGGCAGTCACCACTTGAAAATTTAAAATTATCATGTGTTTTAAGTTTTTTTATAGGTATTTTCTATTGAAAATCTGTTTTTGTCTCCTAAAATTTTATAAGTTATTTCATTCTTACAATTTTAAAAGTTGACCCCTTAACATAAAATCTTGCGCCCACCTCTAACTTCAACAATGTATTAACGTATAGAAACATGTCTCCACATACTAGATGTTAAGGGTTAATAAGATATCATCTAACTCTCAATCTTTTATACACAATAATCGTAGGCGCAAGATATAGGTTGCTTCAACCGGTCTTCTGTTAAAGGTTGCTTGCAGTAATAATAAATGACCTTTTAACTTTCATTAGATACAATTTAAAAACGTTGACTCTGGATATATTATTATGCTAATTATTTAACGTACACATATCCTTCATTAAAAGTTAACAATATAGTGACTGAAATAATCAAACGTGACGGAAAAATATATATTTTTAGCTCAGTATCCAAAATATAATTCAATTAAGTCATCTTACCATAAGTAATTATAGTTTAAACCCTTAAAGAAAAATAAGTTTACAGGAAAGTCATCCTACCATAAGTAATTATAGTTTAACCACAATGTGATATTGTACGTACGCGAGTACAAGTTAATAAACCAACAGTAACAAAACGCGTATATAAATTTTATCTTCAATTATTTAATGAATTCGTAGTTAAAGGTTTATATTTAATTAATCAAAAAAATATTTATATTTAAACACTTAAAAAACTTCATATCTAAATAATGTGAGAACTTATTCAATATGATAATTAGAGACAATTATTACCTTTTAATTTGAAATACTCGAGATCCTAATAACTAAAATTATCTTTGATTTTTGTACTAATATAAGTTTAGATATGAGTCTGAACGATAGATCTTTGACAATCATAATCTATAATTTTTGACAATAAGATTATGAAATCTCGTATCGTTTAAATATAATTTTTATAATATGTATTTATTGAGGGATTGAATATAAATGTAAGAGGAAAAAAACCAAGTAAAATGCATCTTCCTTCCTTCAGTTCCTTGGAGGATACTGGAATTCGTACAATGAGAATCTGCTTAAGTTGCTTCCACATTCCACATTCCACATTCCACATTCCACATTCCTTCGTTTGTAATATAAAGACATGTGACTATATTGAAACTACCTAAATAGTTATATGGCCATATTATCAAAATTAAAAGTATGATTGTCATATCGATCCAATCCTATAACTAAGTGGTCATTTAAGTAATTTGCATTTTACTCTAAAATTTAATCATTTTATCTAACGTGTCACGTAAGTAAAGTAGCAAAAGTTGATAATAAACTGATCAAAATAAGACGGACCGACAATAAAAATGACTAAAATGATCAAAATCAAACAAACCATAAAATAATGAACCATTATTATTATTATTTTGAATAATCTCGATTATAAAGTAATATTTTTCATAATTTTATTAATCTATTAACAATGTATATCCCTATGTATACCAACTATTCGAATTTATATAAAAATAAGACATTATGTTTTAACGGTCATTATTCAATAAATTCTAGTATTATGTCAGTGATAGTATTATGTCAGTGATAACATCACCGATATTTGTAAGTTTTTCATTAATCTTCGCCATTGGAGAGACTCCGTCAGTAATAGTATTATCCGGGTGCCTCGTAAAACCATTGTCACAGATTTCGTAATCGTCCTGGGCTTGAGAAACCTTGGTTTCGACGGTTTCGATTTCACGAACCAGAATCGCATCCATGGCTTCTTTCAAAGCCACCAAAGCATCATCGTACTGTTGACGGCAGCCGTTAAATTCCGACACTAACATCGGATCATCGGAGTATAAAGGGTCAGCAGCCATTTTTGTTGCAGTTTTAATCGCCCTTTTGGAACGCTCACTCATGGCTTTTATCAACATTACGGCCACGGATTGTGGGTCTGTTTTGCCATTGAAGAATGGTTCAATGGACCTTATGCAAAGACGGGGGTAGAAAGTTTTTGCACATAGGGTCCTGATCTGAGGATTCGAAGCCGCGATCGACGGCTGTGGTATAGGCGTCGGAACCGGAGCTGAGGCAGTTGTTGGAGCGGAAGCCGGCGGCTGTTGCCTTACGCAAATGACAGGGTTGAAGAGAATGATGCAGCAGAAGAGTAAGACAAGCACCATCTTTGTTGCAGTGATTGTGGTAAGAAACTAAAGAGAAATGGTGTATTTAAAGATGAAATTAAGAAATGAGAGTTTCGGACGTTGCTTTTATTTATTGTAATCGGGGAGTTATCAGTTATCCAAACATACATAACTTTGTTTAGTATTTATTTAACAATAAATTTAGTATAAGAAATTATATTCATCTTATCGGTATATCCATAATCAAATGCATGACATTCCTACGTTATTATTGATGAAATTATAAGAGTAACAATTCACGTACTTTTATTTTACATTATATAAATAATCAAAATTGATAAAATACATGTAAGATAAAATATATCTTTCAAATATTTTTCACATTTAATTTATTTTACATTATTGATTTTAAGGTTAGGTTTAGGGTTTTGATTTTATTGTATTAGGGTTAGTGATGTGAATTTATTGGTTATAGATATAGGGTTTAGGGTTAAAATTCACAATAATATAAAACCTGAGCCAATAAATTAAAAAAAAATTTAGAGAAAAAGATTAGGCATCATCTTCTAACTAAAACATCTTTGTTAAAATTATTTTTCATTAGTATTAACTAAATTAAGTATTTGATGAAATACTCCAATAAAAGAATAATGAATAAAAGTGGTAGGAAGAAACAAACAATATAGAAATTCATAATTTTTATAATACTCGAACACAATATAATACGTTAAAAGAATTATAAACAAATTCTAGAAAATGATACAAAGGTATTTAAAAAGATAGAAACCGTCATTACTAGCCACAGAGGACCGACTATTTATATCACACATAGCGTGCATGCATCATGCATGCTATGATTAAACACTTCACAAAGATATATTATCTTAATGATCTAATGATAATTTAGGCATCGATTATAAATTTCATTACGCATTAAACACGAAGAGCTAGAGGCTTAAGATATACTTATATCTTTAAATTAATTTTCAGCATGCATTCGATAAGACCTCAATCAGAGATGAATCGATAGGAGCGAATGAGGGCAGTTGCCACCTGAAATTTTAAAATTACCGTATGTTTTAGATGTTTTCTATGTATTTTCTATTGAAAATATGTTTTTGTCTCCTGAAATTTTATAAGTTATTTCATTCTTAAAATTTTAAAATTTTACCCCTTAACGTAAAATCTTACGCCCACCTCTAACTTCAACAATGTATTAAAGTATAGAAACATGTCTCCACATACTAGATGTTAAGGGTTAATAAGATAATCATCTAACTCTCAATCTTTTATACACAATAATCGTAGGCGCAAGATATAGGTTGCTTCAACCGGTCTTCTGTCAAAGGCTGCTTGCAGTAATAATAAATTACCTTTTAACTTTCATTAGATATAATTTAAAAATGTTGACTCTAGATATATTATTATGCTAATTATTTAACGTACACATATCCTTCATTAAAAGTTAACAATATAGTGACTGAAATAATCAAACGTGACGGAAAAATAATTATTTTAGTTCAATATCCAAAATATAATTCAATTAAGTTGAGTGACTGTGGTTGTAGTTTACTCATTTGATTATCATAATGTTTAATGTTACCAATACTAATTCATGGGTAGATTTTTGCTATTCCTGGATTATAATCCAAGTAAGATGATCAATAACAATCCTTTGTAGAGATGCATGTAAGCATGTATACACGCTACAAAGTAGAATTTATACCTAAAACAAGAATCAGTAAGTCATATCAGCGAAGTCAAGGACAATGCCACCAAAATTTTGAAGTTCTTCATTAATATCCGCCATCGGAGACACT